GAATTAAAGTGGACGAACATCCTGACCTTCATCAGAAGGACGGGAAGGTTCGAAAAGGACAACTAAAAGAGGGATGTGTAGATATGTGGAGAGCAGGGGTTGGCAAAAAGGGCCCATGGGGGCCTACTTGCCTGGCTACAGCCTCCCCACAATACTACTACTACTAAGACACCCAAGACTTACAATAGAAGGACAACAGATCACGCCACAAGACAATATAAAATACCTTGTACTCACCATTGACAAGAACAGAAATGGCAAGACCATATAAAAACAATAATAAAAAACTCATCCGAAATTTACCAAAAATTATTTATTATAGTAGGAAGAACATGGGGAACCCACCCGGAAATAAGAAGAACCATATATGAAAGGGCAGTGAAACCACTAATTCTATATGAGTCAGAATTATGGGGGAACAAGGCGACAAACGCGCACGTCAAAAGAAATCTCAGAGCAATAGAACGCCCAAACCTATTATCAATCACAAGATCATTCAAGACTACGCCGACAACAGCACTGCACCTCATAGCAGGATCAATACCATTAGAAATAGAGGCATCAATAAACAACAAACATTATGAAGACAACTACGACACGAGACAAGATAGACAAATACGAACCAAGGACAGACCACACCCAACTGACAGAGGAAACAAATAGGTACACACTAGAAACTACAAACCCCACAGAAACAATAAACATCTACACAGACGCAACGAAAAATGAAATGAAAACAGGCATAGGAATAACATACCAAATACAAAACCAAACATGGAAGAAATTGGGGTATAGAACAAATGACGACATGACAATACACGACGCTGAACTAACCGCAATCTTAGTGGCCACAAAGGAAACGAGAAAAATCAACAGAATACACAACACTCGAATAATAACTGACTCACAAACAGCAATCCAGACAATCAACAGACACGATACATCTTCAAAAACGCAGAAAATAAAATAGAACTGAACTGGGAAGAAAGGCATACCATCAGGGGAAACATTATAGCAGAAGAAGCTGCGAAAACAGCCACGCGACAAACAGATGTAAAAATCGCCATCAAGACAAAATCGCAAATAAACAAGAACAAAAGGAAAGACAAAATAGACACGTGGCACAGGGAATGGAATAGTGTAACTACAGGACGAACACTACATGGACACTTACAAACAGTACAAACAACAAGACTAGAAATAGACAACATAGCGGTACAGTTATTCAAAGGACACGGACATATGGACAGCTACTACAAACGATTTAAACTAAAAACGACGAATGGAAGATGCGAACACTGCACATTACAAGAGACAGAGGACACGAAACACATATTACACAGATGCACGGACCCGGACAGACAACAAGCAAGAAACATGGTAACACAATGGATACAGCAGAGAGAAAAAACATACATTACAAACTGGAGAGACTTCGGGAACAACCCGGAAATAATAAAAGAGCTCGCCCAAAAATTTATTAAAGAAGATCCGGAAAGAATAAATATATGACAACAGACAACACAAATACTCTAAGCACACAGGTACTACCAAAACAATAGTACACACACATCAAACAAACAAAGAAATAATATGGAATATAGATATGAAAGAAGACAATAAATGTAAACGGGACAATGTAAATTGGAAGAAAAAAAAAAGAACAAGGTAAATTGTAAATATTAGCTATAATACACACTAGGAATTGAGATAATAGCGTAGAAAATAACATAGTACATAGTAACAAACATCAGAAAACAGAAACACCCATAACAAATACACAATACCACAACACATATTATAAACCATCACCACACAACCACACGTATAGACAATAGAACATAGAGATGTACCCAACCCACAAATTGTAAAAAGCAATTAGTATTAAATATTGAGTGGCCAGTGATTGGGGATTTTCACCTGGAAAAAAGTCCGGAAGTTTTGAAACTTTGTAGGGTTATGGTTTTGGGTGTCCAGAACTGAAATTCACAAAATGCACATTCCGGGACATGCCGCCGGCGATGCCATCTTGCCAAGATGGCGCTCAAAAACGGTTTTTTGAAAATATCTCCAAAACGGTGCGTTTTCAGAAAAAATATGAAGACATAAAAATTCAAGATGAAGAAATTTTCTACAAGAAATGATCCCAGTATATTTTTGCTGAAGTGAGCTGTTTAGGCCCAAGAGCTGATGGAATGACATCATATTCTGTTAATTTCAATAAACTGCCCCTAACTATCTCCAAATATGCGTATAAATTCATCTTTCATAATGAAACGGGCTATCTAATTGGTTTCTTGTTATATTTATAGCACAAGTGCCCTAACCAAATTACAAATGTTGCGAAGTTTTCTGTAGTGGCGAGTTTCGGAAATAATATGTGTATTAGGGGTCCCCAAATCTGATATTTAACGACTTTAAAAATATTTATCACGAAACGGTGGATATCCATTATTCAATCAATCGATGAATTCATCAATTGATCCATGTTAATAATTTATGATCAATCAATTTCGACTTTAAATGCTGTACTTGTTTCCACACTACCCAAGAGGCTAAGTACACGGCGCGTTTTTTTTAACGTGGTTTCCCCTGTAGTCCTGATCCACTCAAGTACTGACATTATTTTTGGCAAAGGCCAGACGGACCTGGCTCGTTGATTTCGTTATATTCAATGGGGAAACTGGTTACCTCAGCTCCAGAATCGATGTTAATTTCCTTCAACTCGTCGGATTCTTCTTCTGCAGTCGATAAAGAATCACCATGCAGCGAATGGAGGTCTTCTTCATCGGATTCGTCCAGTGTCACTTGGCTGATATTTTCACAAGTTTTCCCGTTGCAGACACCGCAAATCATCGAACATCGCAATCCTGCTTTCCTGCATCCGCAGGCTCTACCACAAGCCGCCTTGCACTTACAAGATAAAAAAGCAAGTAGTGCTTTGGAAGCAGGATCTTTCAAAGTAGTTATTGGGGTGGGGCCAGTTTGTGTTTTCTTCCAACCCCATTCTTCAACTACTTTCGGACAATTACGCCATAGTTGAACCTGATAGTACGTTCTCAACGAATGCTGTCGTGCAGCTGCGCTTGTCGGTGGTAAAGATGCCAAATTGAATTCACTTTTTGTTACCGACTTCACGAAACACTGGTATCGATATTTATCAAGATTGGTGTAGTTTTTGTCTTTGAATCCATGAAGTGCAAGGAAAAATTTCTCTCCGGCAAAGGCAACTTGATCAGGGGTGGCATGTTTATTTTTAAAAACTTCAATATGATCTTGTAACTCTATATGTTTTTCTAATGTTGTTAAAAACTTCATTTTAAATACGGTCTCGCAATTTTTTCATGTCCGTTTTTCTCGTAGAATTACTGATTGGCAAATTGTGTTCGTTAGGAAAGGTAATTTAGTTGATGAAAAAGTTCTTGTATTTCCACCGTTTATAAAAATATCTCATCTGAAATATATATTTTGTGTATTTACTCACATTGGGATGGAGTGGTGAAGACAAGAAAGCAAAATTTCAAATTTCTATGAATTTATGGGCGGTTTTACAGTACGAAAAGGTACCTATATCCACGGATACATAGTATAGGTGCGAAATTTACTCATAACCATCCTGCACCCACATACTTCTGAAGTCGCCAGATTCGTCGATAATGCAATTTTTATATCGCCCAAATGATCGCAAGTCACAAATGCAAAATTTTTGTCGCATAATTGATCTAAAAATCGTCCAATATAACGAGGAACGAATTGAATAGCTCGTTTCATTATAGAATATGAATTTATACGCATATATGGGATAGTTAGGGGCAGTTTATAGAAATTAACAGAATATGTTGTCATTCAATCAACTCTTGAGCCTAAACGTCTCTCTTTAGCAGGAATATGCTCGGAACATTTCTTGTAGAAAATTTCTTCATCTTGAATTTTCATGTCTTTATATTTTTTCGAAAAACGCACCGTTTCGGAGATATTTTCAAAATACCGTTTTTGAGCGCCATCTTGGCAAGATGGCGGCGCCGGCGGCATGTCACGGAATGTGCATTTTGTGAATTTCAGTTAAGGACACCCAAAACTATAATCCTACAGAGTTTCAAAACTTCCGGACTTTTTTCCAGGCAAGCCTTATTTTGGATCCCCAATGACTGAACTATATAGAGAATAGGAAAACCAAAACTGTAAATAAATAATAACCAAAATGTAATGAATCAACCATAAAGGAGACACACTTTCCCCGATAACTTTTGGAGTGTGGCGTTGGGATGGAGTTCTCCTTGACAGTGGCTGCGCTAGATAGAGGATACCCTAGATACCTGGTCTTATACCGCACGGTTGGCAGACCATCCAACGCAAGTTGGTGAACCTTCTCCTGCATGCCCAGTAGCAGCATATAGCCTTCTTGGTGCATATAGGTATGCTCATTCCAGGTCAACTTGAAGTCGATTGTGAATCCAAGATATTTGGTTGAGCCTTTGTATTGAAGACACCTTCCTGAGAGAAAAACCTCTGGAAGTGTTCCTATTTTTCGTTTCTTGGTGAATAATACCAGATCCGCTTTTTCTGGATTCACTCTAAGCCCACCGGCGGAGCACCACTGTTCCACTTTCCTGAGAGCTCCCATCATGGAGTTCCCTAGGTGATTCACCGGTTGGCCTTGAACCATAATAACTAAGTCATCTGCATATGCTTGCGCATATATCCCTGACCGTAGATTATTCACCTACGGAAAGATGAGTAACCAACACGAATTGTTTGTCAGGAACATCTCATCCCCTCCATAATGACATAGGGGAAAGTAAACATTTTGGCTGGTTGGCACCTCATTGGTCAAATCAAATATGCGCGCGACAAGACTGCTAGCGGAATCCGGAATGTTACGGAAACCGCCATTGCGTAGCGTCTTTTCGAGAGTTTTTCCGCTATTTACGAAGTCTTGGTGCGTTTTAGTGATTGTGTTGACTATAATTTTGCGATTTATAAATCCTGCTGCAGTGAAAATGACTGATAAGTGTGTGGTATGTGGCTATAGAAGCAGACGTGGAGACTGTTTATCTTTTCATAGGTAAGTAAACATCAAAACCACGACTCAGCCACGTTCAGCCATAGGCGTCTCGCGTGTTTATTCGGAATTTGAAAAAGGAGTGTGTGAACTGTAAATAATTTCAGATTTCCTGACAATATCCAGAGAAGGCAAATGTGGCTGAATGCTCTGAATTTAGAAAAGTCAAACAAATGGCATTATGTTTGTGGAAAACATTTCAACAACAATGATTACACTGTCGGATTATCTGGACTAAGGATATTGAATCGGGAAGCAATTCCATTTATGCTAGTTCCACAAGATTTTGTTGATTCAAGGTTAGTCAGTTGTAATGGTTGTACTGAACACCTATTTCTTGTTTGAAATATGTATGAACAAACGGGCATGATTTTATCAAGCTCATTTTCAGAGAAACTGTCCCTGATGAATCATATCAAACTGAACCACTACCCAGGTAGCACATGACGACTATATGACGTCTAATTGACGGCATCACATTCGGCCAAAAGACGTCTTTATTTTACCAAATGCGACGTCCAAATGACGTAAGTAAGACGCATCCAAATGACGTCATATTTGAAAGTCTTTTAGACGTCAATATGTGTTTTCAAATTGGACCTTGAACTGACACTACTGACCAATTTCCGACGTCAATGAGACGTCTGTTTTTTTATAAAAAATTTTGGGGTTAATGGTTATAATCTGATGGTGAGGAAGGTAATCATTTGTGCTATAAAATAAATTTGCTACGAATGAAGATTTTATTAACAAGATGGTAATGTGAGGTATTACAAATAGTTGAAAATTTCAGCGTCGATGGCTTCCCCTTCACCAGAGAGCTCTTTTGTATGTTTTGCTGTCTATAAATGGCGGCCAAAACACTTCCTTTTTCAACGGCGTCAGCCAAGTTTCGTGAACAACAGCTACACTGTTGCTCCCACTGTCATCAAATTGTATCACACAACCTGAATAGTTTCACGTGAACAACAGACTGTATAGAAATACCACTCAAACACTCAACATTTTAACATTCTTAACAAATCCAATGGCACAGACGCCGTTCACAAACAACACCCATTCGGACATGGACGATGGACAATGAACATGAACGGGAACGCAGCTGAACGGCAGTAACGCCACTAACGGCAGTCGCGAGATGGTCGCGAGTCGCATACACAATCTCTTCGCGTAATTACTTGATCGCCATTGGCCATCTGGTCGGTAATGTGAGAATTGTCTTTGGCGCTAAATTTAAACATTGAAAAGCAAGGGAAGCCTATGGAATAAAATCCATTTTTAATATACATTTATACAGTTATTTGGATAGATTAATTGATTAATTTCATAACTTCGTTTTCCTATACATACATAATAATAATAATAACAATAATAATAGTAATGATAATTATAATAATAATGATAGTAATAATAATGATAATGATAATAATACCCAAAAAATATGAAGACCATAGATTGACGTCTATACGACGTCAAACAGTGGCTGTCCATAAGACGTCCAATTAATGACGTCCGCATGACGTCATAATTTGGTCAAAAGACGTATGAGATCAAAAAAACCTTAGATAGCGGTCCTATAGACGTCACATTCGTCAGTCTGGCTACCTGGGTAAATACAGGACCGAGTACCTCAAAATACCAAGGACTTGAATCTTACACTACCTTTCCATTAGCTAGGCAAGCAGTGAATTTACCTAGAATTATGTTAGTTCAAGTTCTGAAAGTACAATCACTGCTTCAGTATCATCAGGAAGAACAATAACTGCATCAATTTCTGAAGATGGCACACTTACAGCCTCAGAAAAGGGGTATTTTCATGAAGACACTGGTATAAAAAGACAAGAAATTGCAGATGTGGAAAATCTTTTCAAAATTCCTGAAAGTAGAAAGTTTGGTTCTTCATGAAAATGTTTTTACTTACTATAATGACTTTATTTTTTGAAGGCGCCGATACGAGTCATTCAAGTCAAGTTCGAGTCCATCAAGTTCAACTTCAAGTTCTTCGCAAAGATTGCTTGAAGGCAATACTGATTTTATCTTGACTTCAACAAAATCTGATAAATCAAGGTATTCATTCGTTGAAAGGTATGAAATATTTTGTTTCTGGGCCAATTTGAATGAAAATAAAAAAAATCTAAATAGAATTTCAATTTCTAGGATCAAAATCAATTCGTCAAAAATGAATTGCAAACAATGTTATATTATGTTGATAGAATATCTCAAGGACTACTTCGTTCAATTACTAAATGACTATTATTTCAGAAATAAATATACAGAGTGTTTATTAAGTATTTGTACAAACTTAAAGGAGTAAATCTTCGACTTATTCTGAGATATGAAGTTCATATAAATATGTGTCCACAAATGTTGTTGTTTCGGAGATATAAATAAATTGGTTCCTATTTCTCAGGAGAAAGGTTGAGCATAAAAGATATTTTGGAGACATTAATAGTGAAGACATGGCAAGTCCAACAAAAGCATGGAAAGCTCAATTATGGAAGAAAAATTCATACTCTGCAACAACAAAATCGAAGGAGAAAAGCCAGAGTTACCAGTTTGAAATCAGTATTAAATTACCTCACGCAGCAAAATCTCTTGTCTAATTCAGCACTGGAAACCATTGAAGTAAGTACTTGTCAAATTATTCTCAATTATAATTCCTAGAAGATAAATTTTTTGATGAATGTGTGACAATATGAACTAATATTGAGTATAGATTTCATTATCTCAGAAAATTGAAATCATTATCAAACAAATCATTTGTAAAAACAATATACGAACATAACTTCGAAATTTTTTTTGGCAAAAAACTATCCATTAAATAATTTGAACAAGTTAAATATCAGTTACATACTCTCGAATTAATCACTTCATATTATTTAATTTGATTTAATTTCAGGCTTCATTACCTGGACCTGTAGTTGAGGTAGTGAAGAGAATTCTGAAAGGATCCAAATGTCAACAATACTCACCATCCCTACGAGCATTTGCATTGACTTTGCACTTTTATTCTCCAAGAGCCTACAACTATGTCAGGGAAAAATTCAATAAAGCCTTGCCGCATCCCTCAACAGTTAGTAAATGGTATCAGCACATTAATGGCAGTCCAGGATTCACAACAGAATCATTGAATGCTATTAGAGGAGAAGTAGAGGAGAATAAACTCAAGGATAAGGCAACCTATGCTAATTTAGTGATGGATGAAATGTCCATACGTAAGAAAGTTGAATGGGTAGAAAATAGGTTCATTGGTTTTGTTGATTTTGGAAATGATTTTGACAGTGATTCACTTTGTAACATATCAAGGCTCCCTAACTATGGAGTGACATTGGTTCCCTGTCTAATTAGTGGTGTTGAAACTAGGCGCGAATTGACCGAGCGAAGACTGTTTCGCTAAGCAGGGATGGACAAAGGACGTGTGTGAGAGGAAGCGGGGTGTAAAAGGGCGAGAGAAGATATTGGAAGAAGCCGGCAGGTACAGGAGGGGAGGTGGTTGAAAAGATCACAAGAGGAGACGCGTAGTCTCTGGCTCTCGAGTTGATAATTGGAATACCAAATTATCATGGAGTATTAGTAGTATCTTGAGAATAAGATACTGTTGCTGGATCTACCCGAGAGTGTTAGGTGTAATACACCAGCACCAGAGTTAGGGAGTGGGAATAAGCAGGTAAAAGGCAGGAAGCAGTAAATGGTTTTGGCAGAGTGACTGTCCTACAGGTATATGGACAGGCCCAGAATTATGGAAGCCAACGATTATATATACTAGTAAGCTTTAGCCAACGAGGGATATACCAGGTATTTACTCATATGTTTCGTCAATGAAGTGTTAAGAACTGATATCTCGACTGAGATAGACTGAAAAACGTTCGTTTAGGCATAATTTGATTAGTATATAAGTATAAGGTTAGGCTAAATGTGATTAATGTTTCGTTGAGAGATTGTTTGTTTACGCCATTATTTCAGAGTCTCATTGCTGTCGTTCTAGCTAGGCAGGTACATTACAACTTCCTGAGGCAAAGGAAGTGTTAGTATTTATTATCACCAGCATTAATGGCTGCTGGAAAATACCTGTAGGCTACTTTTGCATAGATGGTTTGTCAGTAAGTGAAAAAGCAAATTTGGTTATGAATTGTTTAGAATTCTTGCATGAGGCAGGAGTTATAATCACCTCGGTAACATTTGATGGTGCTGCCTCCAACATTAGCATGGCCAAACAGTTAGGTGCGGATTTTACTGATTTCAATAATTTGAAAACATATTTTCACCACCCAGTCACTAAATACTACGTTTTTATTTTTCTTGATATTTGTCATATGATAAAGCTAGTACGTAAGAGTTTAGGAGATTTTAGAGTTTTGAAAACCAAAGATGATAAAATCATAAATTGGCAGTATCTTGAAGAACTAGTCAATACACAAATTGCTGAAGGTCTGAGTGCTGCTCCACGAATTGAGAGGCGTCATATGCAGTATGCTAAAGAAAAAATGAGGGTTGAAATTGCAACCCAAACATTTAGTAAGAGTGTATGTGATGCTTTGTTGTTTTTGGAGGACTTAGGACTGAGTAATTTTGTAGGAGCTGCAGATACTGCCAAATTTTGCTCACTATTCAATAATGTTTTTGATATTCTCAATTCCAGAAGTAAGTTTGCAAGTTACATTTATAAGAGAGGATTTTCTCATAAAACAGAAGAACTACTCCTACAAAAATTCAGTGAAATGAAAGAGTATATTCTGAATTTAACTCTAAAGGATGAACCAATCACTAAAAGCCGTAGGAAAGTCGGTTTCATTGCGCTTTTAGTAGGGATTGAAAGCTTCAAGGGATTATATGGAACGTTTGTCAAATCGGGGAAATTGAATTTCATATTGAGATACAAATTAAGTCAAGATCACTTGGAAACATTTTTCAGTTGTGTGAGGAGCTTACATGGTTTCAACAACAACCCTACTTGTAGGCAGTTTCAAACTGCTTACAAGAAACTCCTTGTTCCACGATAAGTTAAAGGAGCAGATCCTGGAAATGCAGTTAATATCGATAATACTTTGATTTTAACAGTATCTAGCAGAAGTATCACTACTTATGATGTTGATGATGAAGACGTTGAAGTTTCCATTGAATACCAACAGTTGTGTGAAGAATTAGACAGCCATGACGTTTTTCCAACATCTGGTTGGCATTCATCTTCATTTTTAGAAGATGTTATAATTTATATTTCTGGTTTTGTGATTAAATCCTTAAAAAAATGTATAACTTGTGGGAAATGCTTAGCTCTTCTGGAATGTGAAGAAACATCATCTTTCTTACAAAAGAGAAAAACGTATGGTAATTTTGTGAAGGCACCATCATTTGTTACAGAAATATGTATCCATGGAGAACGAACTCTTCGTGAGATGGGGGAGGAGATATTTTCTCCAAAATACAAAAACATATTGGATTTGATAATCAGAAAAACCATTTCTCATCTACCTGACAAAATATTCCGCCAATCTGGTGATCACCTGTATGGTGGTGAATTATTAGATAATCATCAAATTTCGTTGATCAAATTGATATTGAAAAGATTTTTCACTATTAGAATGCATCATGAGACCAGAAAAAAAAGTGATACTGTCAAGAGTAGAGTGAGAAGTATTCTCACTCATCTCATTTTATACCAAAATCAATAGTTCCGAAAAACGTGATTCTACCATTCCATTTTCAACGTGGTTACTGAATTTTATATGCTATAGCGCAACCTACAGACTGAAAATGAAAATTGTATATACATGATATTTATATTTGTTTCATATTCAAATGAAATTTAGATTATAAATCATAAAACCCTTTCAAAGGTACTAATAATATAAATAACACAGGATATCTACAATTTTTGAGTTATATCTCCATAACCAGTTGATAACGTCGATTACTAATGTATATGATAATAATAATGACAGTTCAATTCAGCTGTCAAATTCTCACGAATTTTACATTCGATGGTAGCCAAACTTTCTTCATCGCTAAGAAATCTTAAATAGGCGTTTGCTGAAGCCTGATAATTTTGAGAAAAAAATTTCTTCAAATCTTCTAGAATGGCGAAGAATCTTTGTGAGACGCAGCCTTTGCTTATAACCACCTTACATTGTTGTGCAGCAGTAAATCGTCATATTGTGCATTTACTTCGTCCAGAAAAGATTTCGATTGACGATGTTTCAGTGATGATCTGGCACGCAGGAAATTTACCATTTTGATCACTTCTTGCATCGTATTTGGGTCCGCATATAATAGGTCGGCGGTCCGGATCCGGACCGCGGTCCGCCATTTGGTGACCCCTGGTCTAGAGTAATACCAAGATATTTTATGGAATTAGTTTCTCTCATTAGAAGCTCATGTATTTCGATAGAGTCAAAATGTGGTCTGTTTGAATCAGTCATTGAGAAGGCAATATAGAATGTTTTATCAGAATTAAAAGTTAGTTTGTTTTTGACGAGCCAACATTTCAACATGTCCCATGAGCCACTTTATTTTTAGCATTTTCCCAGGTCTCATCTTTGAAAAGCAGGACTCTGTCATCTGCATTGGAGATGGAGATACCATTTATGTTTAGGTTCAATAAAGAATTGATGTAAGTAATAAAAAGAAGTGGACCGAGTACTGTTCCCTGCGGAATACCGATTTCGGTTTCAAAAGGGTCGCTTTGGACATTTATTATTTTGGTTATCTGTTTTCTGTTACTCAAAAAGTTTTTGAAGATTCTTAATACAACACTTCTGACACCATACTGCTCAAGTGTGTTGATAACTTGTATATGTGGTACGGTGTCGAAAGCTTTTGCAAGATCTAGGAAAAATGCAATTGCTTTCTCATTATTGTCAAGACTATTCTTGATATTATTCACTAGTTCAAATATAGCATCATTCGTGCTCATATTTTTCATAAATCCAAATTGATTTTTGTTCAATACGTTCACTGAAGTTAGATAATCTAAAAACCCATTCTCGAGACATTTTTGAAAATGTCGTGATAACACTAATGGGTCGATAGTTATTTATATTCGTTTTAGAGCCCTTTTTGTGAATGGGTGTTATAATTGATATTGTGAGTAGGGTTGGTACTTTGCCTGTTGAAACAATTTGGTTTATAATGTGGATTAAAGGATCTGAGATGAATTTATGATACTTTTTTATCAATTTAGATGATATATCATCTATGCCTGGTGCACTATTATTTACGATATGCATTATTACGTCTTCCTTGGATACAGGTTTTAATGCCATAGAATTCATAGTAGGAGGATATTCAATAGTAATATCAGGAGTGGGTTCCTTTGTTTTTGATGCCATGTTCAAATATAAAGAAAGCCTTGAAATATCGCTTGTAAAACTATACATTTTGGAGTGATCATGGTCACAACTTCAGACAAACTGAAATCATCGTGTTTTCACACATCTATTTATTGTAAAAAGTGGGATACAGGGTATTCGATTTATTTATCAAAGTTCAATTCTCTTGATACATTAGAAAATCTATGCTGATTTTGAAAAACTTTTTCATCCCAGAGTTGCTGTTCTTGTAGGGTCGGCATATTTTTAAGTTGACTATGCCTTATTCTCTCTTCCATTCGGAATCTCCATTTTTCCTTCTTGCTATTGCCAATTGGTGGACATCTGATAATGTCCTTACCCTCGATGTTTGGTACAATAGTGGAATAATCATCATTATCCCAGTTCTCTCTACTACACTCAAATTTGTACATACAGACAACCAGATAATGAAAGTTGTCCCCAGAATTTCAAAGTTTACTTTCTCCTGAAGGGTTCATATAATTTTGATATTTGAACTAAACTTATTTGATCCTATAAGTACTCAGAGTACATGCTGTTTTTCCTGCCATGTTTATTGCTTGTAAGTATAGTATAGGTAAGTATGAAAAATTCACTAGGACATTGTTAAGAATACAGAGATTAATCAATGATATAGAAAACTCTATATTGAGGACATTTGAAGTAAAATGCATAAGGAACAATAAATTCTGTCCAGTGCCCTCCATGGTGTCCCGAACTTTCAAATTACTATAATATAGAAAACTTGTCAAATGTTAATCTATGAACTATCAGAATAACAATATGAACATATCAATCATTTCAAAATATTATTCAGTCAGAGAATAAACAATAAACCTAAAATCTTTAATATTAGGAAAATGTATGTTGATGAAATGATTTTTTTGTATATTCTCCCACCTTTTTTATGTAATGCCTACCAACCTCTAGTATTTTTGGTATTTTTCATTTCATTCTGAAACTGAATAATAATATGAAGAGAGTCAATTCATTTTCAATTACTTAAGAGCTCATTTCGCAAATCTCTTCCAAAATCATCTGGTGTGGAATGAATTTATCATATGTGATGTTT